AGAAAGATATTAAAAACTAAGGCACCTGTCTGTTTTATTAATTAAGAAAAGGTTTAAATGTTTCAAAGATCCATTGAATTGCTTCAGTTGCGGGATAAGAAGCGGTAAAGATGCTGACTATATATTACTTTTGCGGAATTTTGTTTCTCCTCGATATCTCATTCACCGTTGTTGCTAAAAGATGCTGTGAAGATCATCCAGAAGGACAGGTCAGTTTTCGAAAAACTGAATTCCAAAACATAGGAACCTCTGCCGTAGATTATGATCAAGATTATTTAGATAATACAGAAAATGGAATACCGGACAAAAAACTTCAAAAACCTACAAATTCTGGAAGTTTCAAACAATGGAATCAGGTACTCAGCATGCGAAAGGCTCCCAACTCCTCTACTGTTATCAAACTGTCAAAAGAAAACATTGGTAGCACAGGAAAATATGCTTCTGATGTACCGAATTATAATAATAACTTGACAAAAAGACCTCTTTCACTAAGAACCATGACGTCATTAGAATCAAAAATCTACAAGACAAGACTTCCCCGAAACCCAAAAAGTATTAATACAATGTTACAACAATTGAAGTTGAACGCTATGGAACCATCAAGTTTGAGAATCGAAGAAATTGAAAACAAACAGTCGTTAAACTATTTCCAAGAAAGTGAGGCACAACAAAATCAATTCCATTTATCAACCTCGCATGGAGATTTCAAGATGAAGAAAACATTGGTACGGATGCCGAGATCGTTACCTTCTACTACTCCATGCCGACATGAATTGTCATGTAGAAATAACTGCACTTTTCCAAGAAATKTAATCTACTCTGACGTKCTAGCTTGCTACTGCGATGYCGATTGTGAATTGTTCAAAGACTGTTGTGCTGATTACGGTACATTTTGTAAAGGTGAAGATAAYTGGTGGAACYWMACAAWCAATGCACARAACAACRCAGATAATAATAGAACCTGTGYAACCGATGGACAAAGCGATGCAAATGATGGTGGAARCAGTACAAGCACTGGMAAMAAAMMCGTGGTTGGTATACGAAGTATTGCAATGCAAAAAAATCAGTGGGATTATGGAATTATGGAATTATGGCAGTGTTTTAATTTCATTAATATGGATTTTGGTACAAAGGGAATTTGGATGATCGGATCTTGTCCAACAACCTGGCCAAAAGATGATGTCTTCTACCAGTGCAGAAACCTTTCTGTTACCAATCAGATTACTAAAGATAACTACCGCTATCTACCTGTATATACCAGCAATGGTACAGTGTATCATAACAGGTTTTGTGCTCAGTGTAATGGTGTGCCTTTAGATCAGCTTAAATCGTATCAACTCTCAATGGACTGTGATGTAACCCCTCCAGCACATCTCAGTTCTTCGAAAAAAATTGCTTTTTTATTTGATTACTGCAATAAAATTAGTTGGGAGCCACGAGGTTCGTCATTTCCGAGACGATATTGTCTGAAGMTAAGGGACTCTTGCCGTACAAATGTATCACAACAGCAGTGTACTGATAGTCCAGCCAGAGTAGTGTCATATGGAAATACCTTTTACAAGAATGTGCTTTGTGCAGAATGCAATGGACTATCCAGGTCTGATGTTGAATGTGGTCCATATGTGAATCCAGAATGTGTCTCTTTTCCTAGCATTGCTCGTCGAAAACCATTWTCAGTGATTTTTGATTTCAGTGGTGCTGTTGAGGGTACGATGTCAGAAGTCAAATGTACAAGTGGAGAAGTTTATGATAATTATTTRGAAATTTGTAGAGCAACACTCGCCGCTCTCCCAAAATCGTTGGATTTTACACAATACAATGTGTCAATGTGGATTAAGTTTATTGGAGAATCGTGTACAATCCAGACTATYAAAGGGGCTTTGTCAAGTTCTTCACATTTACATCCAGCACAAGTTACAGATTTCAATGTCGAAAAGAAAGGTGATTTGTTGCAGTTACGTTTCAAACTTCGTTTGAATGAAACAATCAAATTCTCAAAGTTTCTTCAAAGTGCKTTGAMTTTCACTTCTCCCATCAACATCACTATTGGAAATTGCAAAGTCACAATGATTAAGGCTGCAAAACGACTGCTGAGCTGCTCMAATCTTCAAGTWTTCAGRAGAAATGAATATACGGTGCTTGGGTCAGCAGTCGTCATCAAAAGTACAGGCGAAGTCCTACATTCCAATGATTATTACAYTGATGGTGAGGCATCTAGTCCAAGTCAATCGGTATTAGTTTGCCGACATAACCAAGCACTTTCCTGCTCAAAAACATGGGTTTTGATGAATGAAGRTGAATTTGTTGTTTTGAAWAATAAAGKCATCTTTGTAAAYTCTTCTGCACGMTTCTACAWCAGTTYGGAATACGTMTGGCAAAACCKCAGTCTCTTTATCTGCGAGAACTATGATGAGTCCACTAGCAAGAATGATCATGTCTTGATTATTGTAACTGATGTGTGCATGTCAATATCGATTATTGCACTAGTCTTTGTCCTCGTCACCTATTCCTTGTGCACCGAGCTAAGAACACCACCAGGTATTAACCTCATGAACCTCAGCGTTGCCATTCTGCTCTCACAACTCTTGTGGCTTCTTGGGAATAATCAGACAGACAGACCAATCGCTTGTACTTTCATCGCTGTATTTCTTCACTACTTTTTCCTGGTTTCTTTCGTGTGGACGTCCATCATCGCCTTTGACACTTGGAGGGCCTTCACTGCTAAAGGAAGACGTTCCATGGCTGACTCGAAGCGCAAAAGACTGCTGCATACTTTACGATATATGGCTGTTGGTTGGCTGTCTGCCATGGTGTACGTTGCAATCTGTGTAGGTCTTGATCTGACCAAWACWGTAAGCATTGGGTACCAATCTAGCAAAGTATGCTGGATGTCTAACAAAATGGCTGTATTGTATATCTTTGCTGCTCCTGTAGCGTTGATCCTCGTGTTTAACTTCGTGATGTACATCTTGACGATGAAAGCAATAAATGTCACCACAGCTCAAGCACGAGCCGCAACGGATCACAAGAATCGTAAGAACTTGTTTTTCATTTACATACGTATCGCATCCGCCATGGGCTTTACATGGATTCTCGGTTTTATTGCTCCTTTTAAAATGAATTTTCTGTGGTATCCTTTCGTGGTATTGAATGGTCTTCAGGGCCTATACATAGCACTGGCTTTTGGTTTAAACCAACGAGCTAGAAGATTATGGAAAATGTTATTTGGAGYGGTTACAATGACAAATAAAAACAACTGTTCGGCCATAACGAACAGCAATCATGTAATTGCCTCTTCGTCCATGGTAGATGAAACAAGACTGTAATAGCCTCTGCGTCTGCAATGATCTCTGATATATTGCAGTGAGCCATGTTTCCGGGAGATATTGATCTCCTAGGTGACACCCAAAAACTCAAGAAATTTCTTTATTCGCTTACAACGTTCTAAAACTTTAAACAAATAAATACATTCTACTGTTCACAATTATTGCAATTTGCCAAATTCTTCTCGAGTACGCACCAAGTGTCATTTCGAGGGAAGTGGAGAAGATGAACTTGAAACAAAGTAGCAAGAATGGATTCTGATGATCAACCTAGAAACATTATAGACCCCTTGTATGTGACTTCAGATCCATCTGAAGGACTTTTTTATGGTTGTGTTTTAAAATTCTTTTGTTATAAACTGTTTTTGAGATTATTATAGTTTAGTTAACATTTAATTTTGGTCCGCATTATGAAAAAAACGAAACCCCCATTTGTAAGGCCGCCTACGTGCCTGATATGTATAATAAAGCCATATGTCTTGTACTTTTTTCTCTGAAATGAAATTACTTTCATCGCAATTTACGCTTGTATTTTATGAAATATTGGAAATTGAACTTGTCTCAGAGATTTTTAATATCAGGTCATCAATCTAAAGATCTCAATGTTTTTACATTAGATATATGATCTAGAAGTTCATTATTTGTTTTGCTTAATCGCTTCATAGCTAGTGTGATCAAAATTACTCTCGCTTTGAATTAAATATTAAAGAACCAATCTCTCTCAAGACTCGTAGGGAGTCTTTGGAGCTCAATGGAGAGATTTAATGGATGGATTACCTTCGATGGAAAANCGAAAAATATTGATTTTCTTTTTACTTACTGTAATAAAATAAGTTGGGAGCCACGAGGTTTGTCATTTCCGAGACGATATTGTCTGAAGATAAGGGACTCTTGCCGTACAAATGTATCACAACAGCAGTGTACTGATAGTCCAGCCAGAGTAGTGTCATATGGAAATACCTTTTACAAGAATGTGCTTTGTGCAGAATGCAATGGACTTTCCAGGTCTAAAGTCAAATGTGGTCCAAGTAAGAACGATCAGGAGGGATGTGGGAGATGTGGGAGTTGTCCTGATAAGCCCCATCGAAAACCATTATCCGTGCTTTTTGATTTCAGTGGTGCCGTTGGGGGTGCTATGCCAGCAGTCAAGTGCACATGTGAAAATGTTTATGATAAATATTTAGGAATTTGTAGAACAACATTGGCCGTTCTTCCAAAATCTTTGRGTTTTACACAATACGATGTGGCAATGTGGATTAAGTTTATTGGAAAGTCATGTGAAATCCAGACTTTTAAAGAGTCTTTGTCAAGTTCTTCACATTTACATCCAGCACGAGTTACAGATGTCGAAAAGAAAGGTGATTTGTTGCAGTTACGTTTCAAACTTCGTTTGAATGAAACAATCAAGTTATCAAAGTTTCTTCAAAATGCGTTGACTTTCACTTCTCCCGTCAACRKCACTATTRGAAATTGCAAAGTCACAATGATTAAGGCTGCAAAACGACTGCTGAGCTGCTCMAATCTTCAAGTATTCAGGAGGAATGAATATACTGTGCTTGGGTCAGCAGTCGTCATCAAAAGTACAGGCGAAGTCCTACAGTCCAATGATTATTACATTGATGGTGAGGCATCTAGTCCAAGTCAATCGGTATTAGTTTGCCGACAGAACCAAGCACTTTCCTGCTCAAAAACATGGGTTTTGATGAAYGAAGRTGAATTTGTTGTTTTGAATAATAAAGTCATCTTTGTAAATTCTTCTGCACGATTCTACAACAGTTCGGAATACATCTGGCAAAACCGCAGTCTCTTTATCTGCGAGAACTATGATGAGTCCACTAGCAAGAATGATCATGTCTTGATTATTGTAACTGATGTGTGCATGTCAATATCGATTATTGCACTAGTCTTTGTCCTCGTCACATATTCCTTGTTCTCCGAGCTACGAACACCACCAGGTATTAACCATATGAACCTCAGTGTTGCCATTCTGCTCTCACAACTATTGTGGCTTMTTGGGAATAATCAGACAGACAGACCAATGGCTTGTACTATCATCGCTGTATTTCTTCACTACTTTTTCCTGGTTTCTTTCGTGTGGACGTCCATCATCGCCTTTGACACTTGGAGGGCCTTCACTACAAAAGTAAGACGCTCCATGGCTGACTCAAAGCGCAAAAGACTGCTGCATACTTTGCGATGTATGGCTGTTGGTTGGCTGTCTGCCATGGTGTACGTTGCAATCTGTGTAGGTCTTGATCTGACCAAAACAGTAAGCATTGGGTACCAATCTAGCAAAGTATGCTGGATGTCTAACAAAATGGCTGTATTGTATATCTTTGCTGCTCCTGTAGCTTTGATCCTCGTGTTTAACTTCGTGATGTACATCTTGACGATGAAAGCAATAAATATCACCACAGCTCAAGCACGAGCCGCAGCAGATCACAAGAATCGTAAGACCTTGTTTTTCATTTACATACGTATCGCATCCGCCTTGGGCTTTACGTGGATGCTGGGTTTCATCGCTCCGTTTAAAATGAATTTCCTGTGGTATCCTTTCGTGGTATTGAATGGTCTTCAGGGCCTATACATAGCACTGGCTTTTGGTCTGAACCAACGAGCTAGAAGATTATGGAAAATGTTATTTGGAGCAAGGACATTGAAAAATAAAAAGACTTCAACGCGAGCTACAAAAAACAGCGATCAAGATRTCACCTCTGCGTCCGTTATTAATGAATCAAGGCTTTAATGTTCTCGGCTTCCTTGATATTTCAGAAAAAATTGCCGTATTTGTCCGGCAGTGGACACACATGTTGATTCACAGTACAAGCAAGAAGTGTTAACTTTTAAAACTATAGTGAACGATAGTTTACTAACTCAGTTGTACTTTTTCTTGGAAGATTTTAATCATGCATATAAAATGATAGTTTTATGAGCCAAACTTAACTGTGTATTTGTGAATCTTAATATAATAATATTCATAATGACGAAAGGTAAACACTACTGAATGCAAAAATAGCTAGTATTTAACAGAGGATCTAGGTGCATCTAGTGATCATATCATCTCAACATTATTTAGATATCAGTCTTTGAATGTAATCGTTTATCAAAACCTAGTTTTGGACAGTTGGCAGGGTTTGGTGACGTATTCGGTATGTATTACGCATGTCAAATCTAGTTTATATACCTGCCATGTAAATTGTAAAAAAAATCCTCTTTGAATCAATCTAGTATACCAATAAATAAATGATCATAGTACAAAATACACCCTTTTGYCGCTTGTTTAAGAATCTATTCATTACTTTCCTATGCCTTGCGGTTTCTTTGAAGAACATAAAAGAATAAATATACGTTGATTAAGCGTTGATTACTAAGTTTCGTAATTTTATATGGCTTCGTAAACGTCAATATTGCAATGACATAAGTGCGAGTTTTATTTAATAATCCTTTACAAGCGGATAAAATACCTCATCGGAAATTAAAAAACTGTTTACGACGTGAGATATATTTTTTTAATGAAACAATGATTTTAATTTTTTTTTTAATAATTTTCAAATATTCCAAATTCAAACCTTTTTTCACATCCCTATTTGGTGAGATTGTCTACTTTTAGAATGATTACTTGCAGCATATTGTAGTGACGTTTATAATTTCTGCCGCGTTCAATTATTTTTTTAATTTTTCCAAGAGAACTTAGTGTGACTAATCCTAAAAGATAAACACTTGAATCAGAATTAAAAATCAATAAAATCGATTTAAAACATTATTAATTTCGT